GCCGCTTTTTTTTTGTTCATGCAGCTAATGGTGCTCGGATCTACTACCTAAATCGATCACAACCCCCTTTTCTGACTGAAATGGTCAACTTGTACTATCAGAAAACAAAAGACGTTGCATTTTTGAAAAAAGCCCTCCCAGTTTTGGACAAGGAATACAAATTTTGGGAAAAGAATACGACGGTGACGATCCAACAAGACGGACGGAACTACAAACTCAATCGATTCAATGTGGAAAACCATTCCCCACGACCCGAATCCTATATGGAAGACTACCATACCGTGCATGATCAAAACCTCTCCCCTAAACAGCAAAGCGATCTGTATTCGGATCTGGCAGCGGGGGCAGAAAGTGGTTGGGACTATTCGGCAAGATGGACAAGGACCAAAGGCGAGGACAAGAACATCCTGCGCACACTAGACACACGGAACGTGATTCCGGTTGAGCTCAATGCATTACTGTGGAGTATGGAAACCTATCTCGCCGACTGGTACGACAAGTTTGGCACGGATTTGACCACCGACAAGCAACGGCGGCGCAAGACAAGTTTTTATCACAAGCAGGCTCGTCAGCGATTAGAAGCAATGGATGCTTTGCTGTGGAACCATGATCAAGCGGGTTTCTTTGATTACAATATCACCCAGCAAGCCCAGTCGAGTGATTTCACGGCGGCGGGATTATACCCGTTTTGGCTCGGGGCTCTTCCTTCTCGTGCACGTGGGAGTCTCCATCGGGTTTTCAATTCTACTCATCGTCTCTTGGCTCAGCAACCTGGGATCCTCTCCTCATCCTCTTTTAATACATCCATGCAATGGGATTTCCCTAACGGGTGGCCACCATTGCAATATATTGCCATCAATGCTATGATCAATGTCGATCAATGGCTGGGTAAACCTAGATATGCTGGCTTAGCAAAAGTGCTTGCCAAACGCATGGCCGCATCGGCTTACTGTTCTTGGTATCTTACTGGAGGAAGTCTGCCGTATCAATTGAAAAAGATTGCTAATACAGATGATAATGGTCACATGTTTGAAAAGTTTGATGTACGATCCTTGACAGATTCTGGATTCGGAGGAGAATGTGAGTAGAAAAAAAAAAAAAAGGAAGGTCGGGGATATTCATGCAAAAGGTTGATTTTTAGATACTGTGCAAGTCGGTTTTGGATGGACAAATGGTGTGGTTCTATGGATTCTTAACCGATTCAATGATTTAACTGCCCCTGATTGTACTTCCAACAACATCTACCCAGTGCCAGATTTAGATTGATTAGATTTAAGCTCTTGTACTTTATTGCATGAAAGAATAAAAAAAAAAATCCTGCCATGCCCTGATTTTTCAAATACCGCTCCCATAAGCCACATGGCCTATCAAAAGTTTTATCTTTTCCTTTTTTCTTCTTCTCTTCTTTTCTTTCAACCCTTTTTTCTTTCTTTCCCTTTACACCTTTTTTTACTTTACTCTATACAATGGCTTTTGAAGGACGTGGCGGTGGACGTGGTGCAGCTCGAGGTGGTCGTGGTAAGTACAGACATACATTTGTGTCATTGGTACTTTGACAGATTAAATTATATCCAACTTTACTAATCCATTCTCTCTTTTTTCTTTTCTTTATTAGGAGGCTTCGGTGGTGGTCGTGGTATGTATTAAACCATTTGCTTATCCTTGAACAAAGAGAGTGGAATCGATTCCTTATTGATCTCAGTCCGATACTCATGCATTCTATTTTACTTTTACTTTTATAGGCGGCGGTCGAGGCGGCTTTGGCGGTGACCGTGGTGGCCGTGGCGGTGCTCGTGGTGGTCGAGGTAAGACTGAAGAAGGAAAAAAGTCATGGTATAATGTACTAATAATGTTAACTTTTATACAATCATAGGTGGCGGCCGAGGTGGATTCGGTGGCGATCGAGGTGGTCGAGGTGGTGCCCGTGGTAAGTTACAAAAGATGATGATGATGCTATATTGAAGTAGAGTATACTAAATACCTTTGATGTATAGGCGGTCGAGGTGGTGCCCGTGGTGGACGAGGTGGTGCCCGTGGCGGACGAGGTGGTGCTGCCGGTGGTGCCCGTGGTGGATCCAAGGTGATCATCGAACCTCATCGTCATGAAGGTATCTTCATCGCTCGTGGCAAGGAAGATCTTTTGGTGACCAAGAACTTGGTACCCGGTGAATCTGTCTATGGTGAAAAGCGTATCTCTGTCGATGGCCCCGAAAACACCAAGATCGAATACCGTGTGTGGAATCCTTTCCGATCCAAGATTGCTGCTGCTGTTTTGGGTGGTGTCGATCATTTGCACATTGCTCCTGGTAAGAAGGTCTTGTACTTGGGTGCTGCTTCCGGTACCTCTGTCTCTCACGTGGCTGATGTGGTGGGTCCTACTGGTGCTGTCTATGGTGTCGAATTCTCCCATCGTTCCGGTCGTGATTTGATCAACATGGCCAAGAAGCGAACCAACGTCGTGCCTATCATTGAAGATGCTCGTCACCCTCACAAATACCGTATGCTTGTCCCCATGGTTGATGTCATCTTTGCTGATGTTGCCCAACCTGATCAAGCTCGTATCATCAGTAAGTATATGCATATAGAGCATAGGCGGGGTTTACATGGAATCATGGTTGACTGACTCCCGCTCTTTTTTTTTTTTTTTTTTTTTTTTTTTTTTACTTAGCTCTCAACGCTCATCATTTCTTGAAGAACAATGGTCATATTGTCATCTCCATCAAGGCCTCATGTATTGATTCTACTGTGGATGCTGCTACTGTATTCGCTCGTGAAGTCAAGAAACTCCAAGAAGAACGTGTCAAGCCTCAAGAACAATTGACTCTGGAACCCTATGAAAGAGATCACGCTGTGGTGGTTGGTCGATATGTCCGTAACAAGTAAATCTAATGGCCCCCTCTCTCCTTTCTTCTTTTTTATTATTATTAGTTAGCATATATTTTATTTGATGTCTCATTACTACTACTTTGTCATCATCCCCTATCATCCTTTGTTTTTATTTTGATTACACACACACACTCTCTCTCTCACCCACACCCACACAAAACAATCCTTTTACTAGGAACTATTAGCTTTATGTATATAATTGGCGGTGGAAATAAAATCTAGATGAATGAATTTTACCTGTGAAGTAAGGTTATCTCTTACTGTTTGACATTGTGCTTCAGTGGGCGGTATTTTAAATAATTTGATCCAATCATAATCACCCAGCTTAAAAGGGCCGATTTTTTTTTACTTTACAGACCCAATCTTTTTTTTTTCTTTGCTCTTCCTCATTTATCCTCACTTTGTCAGCATCATCTTAATTCTTTACTACTTTATTCCATACCCTTCATTCTACCTTTAATCTTCCCCTTATTTTTACTGTGCTCCTCCTATCATGTCATCAACCAACAAAGATGAAGCTGACCGGTGCCTTTTGATTGCAAAAAACCATTATGGAACTGGCAACTATTCATCTGCTGTCAAATTAGCCAAGAAATCCATCTCTCTGTACTCCACCGACAATGCCATTGCGTTTTTGAAAAAGGCGGAAAAAGCATTATCTGATCAACCTAGTGGAAAATCCACTGCAACTTCTTCAACCACCAACACAACATCAAGGACAACAACAACAACAACAACAAGTGAAGAAAAGAAGACTCATACTCCACAACAACTCAAAGCAGTCAAGGCTATTCTCGATTGTGGTACTGATTACTACAAAGTACTTTCTTTGGACAAGAAGTGCACTGAAGTCGAAATCAAGAAATCTTATCGAAAGGTAAAAAAAAAAAAAAAAAAAAAAAAAGCAAATGACAAGAACTAACTTGATTCTCTTAATTATAGCTTGCTTTACAATTCCATCCTGATAAAAACAGTGCTCCCGGGGCTGATGAAGCATTCAAACGTAAGTCTCCCTATCATTAATGTGTTTGTTTTTTTTATTATGACGATTGACTAACCCCTCTCTTCTTTCTAGTGATCTCCAAAGCCTTCACAATTTTATCAGATCCACAAAAGCGGGTTATCCATGATGCTGGTGGTGGTGACCCAGAACAACGAGGAAATGCGGGACCAGGATTCAGTGGCTTCCGAACTTATCAACATCCAGGATTCGGTGGCGGTGGATTCGGTGGCGAAGATGTCTCTCCCGAAGATCTCTTCAACATGTTCTTTGGTCAAGGTGGTGGTGGTGGTGTTAGTGGCTTCCCTGGATTCAGTAGTGCTACCTTTGTGGGCCCTGGCTTCCGAACACATACCTTCCAAACTGGCGGACGACGTTTCCCAACACAACAACCTCAACAACAACAACAGCGACAAAGCAACGGTTCTAGATGGGCCATCTTATTACAATTGTTACCTCTATTAATCTTCTTTGGCTACTCTATGATCTCTGGCTTGATGACCGACACCACACCTTCCTTCTCCTTCCAACCAACATCTACTTATTCCCATTCTCGATCCACGGAAATGCACAATATTCCTTATTATGTCAACCCAAAGACCTTCCGTGCCACCGAACAAAACAAACACAAATTGGCACGTGTTGAACAACAGGTTGTGATGGATTGGGTACGGGGGCTGCAACATGAATGTCAAGCTGAACGCAAAGAACGAACGGCAAAGGTCAGGGCTGCTAGTGGTGTCTTTGGGATTGGTCGGGATGAAAAACGGTATCAAGAAGCTCTCAGCTGGCCTACTCGAAGCTGCGATCAATTGACTCGGATTGGATACAGCAAAGATTATTAGTTATAGTTTTTAGATAGTTGTATGTTATAGTTGTATTAGTTGTTACTGGTCTTTGATTGTTTATAGTCCTTACACACATCCTCTTATTTTATTATATTCCACATTCATCTTACTTTAGATCTCAAAATAAAAAAAACCCTGTTTTTAATACATATCATATGATAGAGACTCATGTTCTCTTTCTGGCCACCAACACTCATTCTTTATCTAAAAAAAAGAAAAAAAAAAAAAGACTTCATGCAAAACGGAATGCCTTGTGGCATTACGTTGGGACCAACCGGGATTTGAACCCGGGATCTCGTTCACCCGAAAAACGCGTGTTACCACTTCACCACTGGTCCCAAAATGTTTTTGTTAATTTTAAGGTGATATATAAATCAGATAGTCGGCGTTTAAAACGGAGTTTAATGTATGGTTTGATCTATTAACCGCACCAGGTACTGTAAGCTTGATACACCATACATACTGATGGTCCCTGGACTATATACAACTTATAAAACCTTCCATACACTCTGACATACTCTTATGCGTTTTCCCACACATTAAATAATAAGTTGTCCATTAGTTCGTTTATTCGATGATTTATAAAAAAAAGCGGCGGGGGGGCTATGCTACACTATTGCTACACTATACCATTACTATACCATACTATACTATTGCTATACTATCATTAAATCACACTACAAACTATTTTCCAATTGTAATTATCACAATTAGTCGATAAACGGTAGCATCGTCACTTGGCAAACGACAAGGTCATCGCCATCGTCAGGTTATTCATTGGTTCGAGGAGCATCACCAGGCAGCTTGAATGTTATCGTTAACAACAACAACAACAACAACAACAACAACAACAACAAAAAAAAAAAAAAAAAAAAAAAAAGAGGAGTGTCATTTAAAAAAAGATTAGTTGGTAAACGGTAGCAAGCGGCATGTGGCAAGATCTTTACCTGTACTGATTATCGATTAGACATAACATGTAACATCCATCAGACATCTTGAATACCATGGTTGAGCAAAAAGGGAAGGTACCATCATCGTGTGTTAAATAGCAGTTTGAATTCCTACTTGTTTATTCGATAGTCACCCAAAACATAGCAGTACTCTGAAGGATCCTGTCAGATGCAAAAGAATGGATGACTGTGCCAGTGTTCTTCTTCTTCAGAGGAGGGCAACCTGATAACTATGAAGAAAAGAAAAAGGAGAGCATTAGTAAAACATCAACATGCATTGTCTATTTTAGCTTCTATTTACCTTAGTAGTAGTTAAAAAGAAACCGGGGGAAACTATTAAAAGGTAGGTCAATTAATATCTTCAATAGTACAAACATAGTATTTTTTTCACCTACTTTCAATCCAAAGTACCAACACCGGATGAGCAACAACATATACAGCAAAAGAAGAATACAACCAAGTAGTTTGAAGGGATAGAGTATCTTCTTACCAGGATTCAGCCCACAAAGTCAAGTGAAAGCCAAAAGGAAAAGATGATAAAGACCTTGTTAACTAAAAGGATCGTAGACCACAACATAGAGAATAGCAAAGAAGAGAGTGATTTAGCACAAGCAAGATTATAAAAGAATATTTATTTTGTTTTATATAAGGATGTACTTACGCAAGCACTCGTAGCTAGATGGGAAATGAGAAGAAAGTGAAAGAGAAGTATAAAAGATAAAAAAGAAGAATAAAAGAATATTTGGCTTGCTTGCAGTGATGTTCAAATCCCGATGGTGGGGTATGTATTTTCCCCCCTTTATTTTTCTTTTGCTTCGTCCTTCTCTTTCCCTTTTTTTTTTGTCGTTATGTTTCAACTGCTGTCACTGAAACATAATAACATATTCAAGTAAAAGGTAAGCTAATATATACAAAGTAGGTGGGGAGGGGCCAAATAGAATCATACTAAACCTCTCATCACCCTTCTTTCCCTCTTCTTTTAAATGACTTTGTCTCCATAGGTAATGCTGGACATCCTTGAAGCATCTCTTTTTTGTTTGTATCTTTAACAATAGAATTACTTTGCACCCTGCTATTCCTCGCATTCCGACCTGCATTCCTAGTTACATCTCACACATTAGACATCCCCCTCCTCTACCTCTCCCTCTTATTCACCCTCTTCCTCCACACTAGTTGTAGCTCTTTATCTCTTTAGCACTCTATAAATATAATAATAAATAATGTCTTAATAAAATAATGACTGGCCATGATAATATTAATGTGTATTAACTCTGCTCTTCCATTAATGATTGACGAGGGCATGCCGTTTTTTAACAACTGTGGCGGGATTTAAAATGCATTTGCAGGATCGGAATTTGAACATTCCAATGAAATGTATAGGACGCATCTACGACAGTCAACGGTACCACTAACACCATATGATCTTTAGGATACTTTGATGTCGTTTTCAGAAATCTTCAGGTATCATGTTTTCTCTTTCTTTTAATGAGTTACATTGGGCCTGGGCGTCCACTCAATCGTTTGCCTTGTTAGTTACACAAGTTCTGACGGTACTTCAGTTTATCATACAGGGTTGTATCTCCAAATCATCGAAGCAAAATATGGATATGGCTCAGCTGTTCCCGTAGTATGAATAATAAGCCAATAAAAAACCGAGGATTTTTGTTCCGAGAAAACGGGACGGGTGTCAGGATCTAAACTTGACTAAACTAAATAGGCAATCTTTGGGGCAACGCTAACCCTGCTTTTAAACATATTCTTTTTGAAAGAATTAAAGAAAGACTATATCGTCATGGTTTGAGAAAATGATGATGGCCAACGAAATGTATTTGAAACCCCGTCCGCATAAAATTTCCTTTTTTCCCGGATTTGATCAAGGTCAAAATGACTAATGCTTCATCTATATTTGTCGCCTGTGAGCCAAACTAAGAGATAAAAGAAATGGGCGTCATGACATGATATAATGCTCCTACCAGACACCAAATTTATCCCCTTTACCTTTCGATGAAATGGCATGAAAAGTATCAGGTAGAACGAGTTTGACGTTTCCCACGAGAACAGTCAGTCAAATTCTTGAAATTCAAAACCCGCATTCCCATCAGGGGCTGTCTTCCCATTGTTGAAACTATACCTAACATGATATCAATGGTTTAGTGGTAGTCTCATAAAATTAAATCTTATCTGTCTTTTTTATTTTCCCCACGTTTTTTTCTAATGAGAAGAAGAATAAGAAGAAAGTAGAAAAAACTGGGTATGTTACCTCTCTCGGCTAATTGGCATTATGAATCGATAATATAAAATAAAAATTCAGTCACTGTTTTCTATGTTGTTAAATTGTTACTGTAAAGAAAAAAGGGAAATAAAGTTCGGATCTCTGACTAATAGGTGAGATCAAATAGGCAACCATCGTGGGAGATGAATTTCTAAAGCCAGTTTCAAGGTTACGATCTTTCTTTTAACTGACAGAAACCTTTGATCAGATGCTATCACTTTACCTTTTTTAGTCTCAAGTGTCACTTTGCTTTTGATTGGTGGCTATGATTTCAGGACCACATTTTGTTTCGCTATCAGGGCGGATTCATAATTTTGGCCGTGTGGGGTTGGATCGGCGATTAAATCTACTGGTAAAGATTGAACTTTATATCTCTAGCTCGGAAATCCTATTTAAAAGCTGGGCGGCTCAACTTTTTTTTCCCCTTTTCTTTCGCTTCTTCTTTTTTTTTTTTTTTTTTTTTCTTGACGCACTCAATTCTTCTTCTTTTCTTCTACTACTACTTCCTCCATTTTTTCTAACTTGCATACCTCTAACTCTTCTCCTCTTCCTTTTTTACTTACGAAAATTCCTTCACGACAAACAGTAATCCATCGATGGTTGGTATGGACCGTAACATAAGCAGCGATGTCGTCAGCGTCGAAGAAGCTGGTCAACAACAACAACAACACAACAAAGAAGGCGACATGTTACAATCCCTTGGCTATAAACAAGAAATGACCAAAAACATCTCCACCATTCAAAACTTTGCAATTGCCTTTGGCTGTTGTTCAATTTTGTCAGGTCTGACTCCGGTAGGTAGATATAAAAAAACAAGCTAACACATATAATGTAATCTAACGTGTTTTTTCTCTCTCCCCTTATCTGATCGGAATGTCAATAGATGTGGGGTGATGCTATGAAAAGTGGTGGATCCCTCGCTGTTATTTGGGGTTGGATCATTGTCTCTATTTTTACTCTCGGTGTCGGTCTATCTCTTGCGGAAATCTGCTCAGCCTATCCCGTCAGTGGTGGGTTATATATATGGACGTCTCAATTAGCACCAAAGAAATATGTCCCTTTGGCGTGTTTTGTTACTGGATACTGTAATTGGCTTGGATTAACAGTGGCCATTACTTCTGCCGATCTCAGTCTTGCTCAATTCCTGGGATCAGTCATCACTATGCAATACCCTGATTACAACATCACGAAATACTGGGAATTCGGTCTCTTCTTGGTCATCATCTTTATACATGGTCTAATCAACTCAGCCAGTGTGCGGTACGTGGGTTTCTTTAATCAAACTTCTCTTTATTGGCATCTTATTGGTATTCTCTTGCTTGTCATTGTTGCTTTGGTTATGACTCCTAACAAGCCTAGTGCCGAATGGGTGGTAAGTACTTGACAGACCCCCTCCCCCTTTTTTTTTTTTGGACATTAATGATTTTTCTTTTTACAATAGTTTACCTACTTTGAAAACGACACTGGCTTCTCCAACAATGGCTATGCATTCTTAATCGGTCTTTTACAATGTCAATACACACTCTCCGGCTACGACAGTGCTGCTCAAATGTCGGATGAAACGGTGGATGCTGCTCGTAATGCGCCTAAAGGTATCATCTACGCCATCGGTACCGCTGCTCTATTTGGTCTCCTCTTTTTACTCTCTGTCAACTTTTGTGTTCAAGATTTCCAACGTCAAATTGTGGAAAGCACTCTTAGTCTGCCAATGACTCAGGTGTTTATGGATGGTGTCGGCAACAAATGGACAGTGGTGTTTTGTACCATCATCATGGGCGCTATGTTTTTCTCCGGATCGGCTCTCACACTTGGAAGCAGTCGAATGGTCTATGCTTTTGCTCGGGATGGTGCTACTCCTTTTAGTGAATACCTTTGCAAGATCAACAAAATCACCAAAACACCTGTATGGGCTGTGTGGGGAAATGTCGCCTTTGCGGCCGTGGTTGGCATTTTGGTAAGTACACATCATCTCCCTCTTTTTATTGATCTTTACTAACTCCATTCTTTTCTTCGTCTTCTTCTTCTGGTAGTATATCATAAACGATACTGCTTATAGTGCCATTGTATCAGTCAACACCATCGCCTCTTCTGCTGCCTACTTTGTACCTATTTTCCT